CAGGGGGTCCAAAAGAACATGGGATTTTATAGCATCTTTTTTTTTTTTTTTTTTTCGAAAGCATGAATTCTTATCTGCCTTTTGTCCCCAGCTTCTTTATTAACTTCTAGGGACATTTTTGCTTAGGTGGACACCCAGAACTTGTCAGAATTTAATTGGCTTTCTAGGCTGTCTTTAGTTGGATCCCAGGCTATAGGACCCTAAACTGGGCATCCTTGCCTATGTGCAAATTACTTTTGATGGGCTTTGACTTCTCCCCACTTGTTCTTCTGAGGACCTTATGGGTTGCCTAGGGAGAGTCTTATAGAAAGGGAGCTGAATCAGTCAGGATTTACTAGAGAAACAGATGTATAAGAAATTGCAAGATTGGTTTAAGTTGGTCAGCCACAGAGTTGGATGAAGGAACCTGCAGAGGGTGTCTGCACGCTGGAAGCTGAAGGGTCCAAGGTCTGGAGCTCACTACAGTGTTCCATACAGATACATGTCAGGAGGCTGATGGGTTTGTGACAGAATGCTGGAGAATCTGCTGGAAGGCTGAAGAGCCTACAGCAGAAGGCTTTATAGAGTCCACGCCAGGCTAGTGATTTAGCTCTGCGGCACAGGGCCTTCCTGACCAGCACATGGCCCCGAGTTTGATTCCTGGTACTGAAAAAAAAAAAAAAAAGCAAAAATAGAATCTGCACCAGAAGGCTGAAGAGTGCGCTGGAAGACTGAAAAGTCCCAGGTGGAAGCTGAACCGTGTGAGCCAGATGCCTGGAGATGATATCCAAGCTAAAGGCGAAAACTGAAGGTCCTACTGGAGCTTCTCTGAAGAACCAGCAATTACTTCTTCCTCATTTCCATTTTACTGTATGCAGGCTACCTGCCCCATGTGTGTGCGTGGGGGGGGGGGGTTGTCCCTTTATACTCACACTATCTCGGTGTTCTTGTCTTATACAGGCTGACAGTATTTACAAAGTAAGGATCCAGCCTCTTGTTGAGTCTGTTAAACTTCTACAGTTGACAAAGTAACATCCTAGAGCAATAAGGGCATGTTCTCTATTCCCTAGGAGGTAGAGATGCTGAATTATTTAGTCAAGCTTCTAGACTTCTCAAGTGGACACAGTTTATCAACCATTTACAGCAGCTTAGAGTTAGTGATAAGGGGATGCCTGTGTACCTAGTGCAGTAATACAGGGATCCTAGAGTGAAAACACGTAAGATATATGCACAGTGGTACATTAGTTCACAAATGCTTTTGTTTGCAAACAGAGCTTTAACAAAATTTTGTTTTTGCAAATTCATTAGGTAACAAACACAACTACAACTATCTTTCCTCCACAAATACACACATGATCATCTTTTCCAAAATCTTAGAATGAATTAAGTTCATGAGCCAAGGTATATACATGGATGTGAAAATATATATATAT